CATCCTTTTGTAACTATAGAGTTTAAAACCTAGCGACTCGGTGCAGCAACAGGAGAATGTAAAATCAAAGCACACATTCCGGCAAACGTCACAAAACTGCGATGATCTAGACTGCTATATTGAAAACCCCAGTCCTAAGCCTTGCGACAGAACAAAGAATTGCAAAACGCCGGCTGACAAGGACACATTCTAACCCAATTATGCGTGCGTTTTCAAGCTTAGCATAGCATTGCACTAGTACAAATAGATGGGCAATACTTCTTTTAAAGATTTATGGGCTTGTAAGTAAGTACTTACCCCGCAAGCCCTCCGAAGAGGAACTTGATGTACTTGGGCATCGTCTTCTTCGCGTCTGTCTGGGCAGCCATCTTGGGAAAAGAGGGTGAAAGGTCATCTTTGTTTGACGTCATCAAAATAACAAAATTCACTAAAGTGTCTATAATGGCAAGAAATTCACATTCTTTGACATCTTATTGGTTGTTTTAAGCAGATGAGTCCTGACATGTGCGTCTAAACTGCACACTTTTAGTATTTTGCCTTCTTAAAAATATGACATCACGTGACTCAAAGGTTAGGGACAGTGCATTCTTACTGTCGATTGATGCTGAAAGATTCGCTGAACACAAAAATTGTTCTCAATCACAACTTTCCAACACATCTGAAGTCAGTTAGTCATACATTAACTCTGTATGGTATCTGAGTCAGTGCTTCAATTGGGACAGTTGTATCAATATTTCGATATTTTGAAACATCTGACATTGAGTAGCGGTTTGCCCCCGGTGATATAGATAAGAGTTCGCCATACTGGTTGAGATTCAGCAAGACTCGGACAGGGATGGTCGGAGTTTCCAGCTCCAGCGTGTGCGCTGAACTTGACTAACTGTTAAAAGACCAGCCCTGACACCTTCAAGACATTCATAACTTGTCTAAGAGGAAGGTAAGGCTGAATTTCTGTCGGAATTTCTCTTCATTTTCCAGTTGTTTTGCGTTGCGGAAGATGCGGATGTGCTGTAGACGGCCCTCCCGAGTTGAATCTCTTTTCCCAAATCAGGGAAACGTTTACGCGGATGTGTATCATTTTACGAAGAAAACCACTCATTATACAACGTTGCAGGGCAATTTTTTTACTCGGTAGAGTCACATAGCTTATAACGGATACGTGTGCAAGATTGTGTGGTGGAAAATTCTGTCTTCGTGTCACTTCCAACTCCAGTAACGTTATAATATTTTCATTCCGAATATGATACACGTACTAGCAAATTTCTGAGTATACCGAAGGCTGAATAGTTGTTGTCACGTCAGTTGGAAAGTTAAGAGAAAAAAATGGACGTCAAAAACACGTGGTAGGCTATAATACCACGAGTTGTCCAAAATATAATGTTGCTCTTCGACTCGAGAATTAAAGCCATTTCATTCATATTTTGTATCAGTTGGGGTAGAACTGGTAAAAATTTTAGCATCTTTGGAATCTTAAAACATCTCCAACCTTAAGACTATTGATAATTTCGAAAAGAAATGTTGATGTGTATACTTAAAATGGAACTGTGGCACAATGCCATGATTGACATATACTGTGTTCTTTGTGTTGGTTAGTAGTAAATGCCCACCCATCTAAAGACAATGATGCATTGTTCTACTCTACATTGTCAGCATGGTTAATTTTAATTGCACATGCCACACCAGTTTATGACTGTACAATAAGTACAACGTTAGTATGGATGACACATTCAGCCGAGGGAGTTACAGCTCTTCCACATCGTGAGGATTTCCAGACTATAATATTTATTGACTGTAACTTCCAAGAAGATACGTAGTTCAAGTTACAACTTGCAACCTGAGCTCTTCACATGTTACTGAGTATGTATAAGAGATATGGGCATATGGCTATTGTGGTGTATGAACCAGTGCTATTTTGTTATTATTCATTTTAAGAACTTAGGTCAACTTCCAAGGACTGGTACCGTTACCAGTGGTCGAAAAAATACTGTAGTTTTCTGGCAAAATGACAAAAATGAAGCTCTTCAAGATATTGATATGGTTTATTTTTCTAGGAACAATAATTAACCTTGTGTCTATTGAATCTAAGTTAGCTGCTATGTGGTGACTGCATGACAAGAGGAAGGAAAGACAGTTGTTCAGGTAAACTTTATTCCACTATGGGATATTTGTTTGAACTCCATGCAGTGACATAGCATTGTTCATTTCATTCTAGCTAACATTCAAGATATACTTATATCATAACAATTTTGGGACTGAAATCTGTAGTGAAATTACAACGTATTCATAGTATCATACTGCAAAGACATGTAGGCTAATTTTTTATACTAGCATGTGTGTACGTACTATTAACTGTGAAAGCAAGTTTGTGTGTATGTGCACTGCGGTGACTACCTGTGTATGTCACAAAGTGATTAGGGATAACCTGTGAGGCTGGTATTTCATGACCTATATGTCACGTGGATAGCCTAAGGAAATGTAGTGCCCCTTACTTAGGTAAAGTATGACCCTATGTTCAAATGCATTGTTCATCATATTCACATTCACTGACAAGTGAACTGAATGATACATAACATTTTTGACATCTCATAAAATTGTTGATTGACTTTAAAATAGGAGACAGTGTTGGCTTGCTTGCTGGCAAGTGTTTTCCTTTTGAGGGTTGGGTCATTGACAGCCTGACCCATAACACACAAGTAGGTCCAGCAATCAGTGCCTAACTGATGAGGGTGGCTGTGGTATAGTTTACTTGGGGGCATGTTGTCCCTGGAGCAGAGAAACTGATCTGTGTAGGTCCTAGAAACAGTCTGGCACCCAGGCCAGTCACCTTACCATCAGTAGTATGCTTGGGGCAATAGAACTTCTCTATAGATCACAAGGAGGAAGTAGCTCTGTCCTCTAAGCTTAATGAGGGTAAGTCAACCCATGTTCACTCTGGCACAAATACATGTACATGTGCCCTGGTTATTAGGTGCAGTTCCAGAGACTTGGGACTTGAGAGATTTTATTTAGAAAATCCATTAGTGGACGTGTGCCCAACGGACGTGTGCCCAACGGCATACCACTTATCTTCCTGGACTTTCAACAACAATTGTAGCAACAGAAGGGTTCTGTTGGTCAGGTAGGGAGGTTCCTACCTTATTCCAGCTTCAAAGTTTGCCAGCTTTGGTACCATCCTTGTGAGTTAAATTGTTAATAATAATAATGATATTGTTAATGATAATAATAATAGCCACCCAATAAAATTAATTACCTCTTGGTAGCAATTATTAGGACAGGATGATACAAGTGCAGACCTGAAGCCAAGGAAACAAAAACAATAACAAACATCTAGTAATCTGCAGTGAACAGTCACATTGACAACATCATCAAATGCAAAAATGTATGAAATGAACTCATTCAACCCAGAGAAAGAAATTGTGTTCTAATGAAGATATTTATTTCAAATTTACATTTTACATTATTTACATTTTACCTCTGTACATATTATTACCAGTATTGCTTGCACAAACCTTCAAAATCTGCTGCTGCAACTATGTTTTGAACATTTGGATAGACTTTGGTTGCTTCAAAATGTATCTGTTTAACTGTCAAGTTTATATTTGAGTCATACAACCCCAGTGCCGTTGAGTCATGACGATGTATCAGATACCACACATACCTACAAGCCTTCGGCGTACCAGGGTGGGACACGTGGGTGACATGTGGAATTTATCCAACATCTATTTCTGTATTGGTATTACAGATCTAGGTATAGTCACCTAAAAATGGCAAACTGTTTCAGGTTTTCTTTGTCAGACTTTTAGTGGTGTGTGTTTAAGGCGAGGCAGTAGATAGCAACGAGCCGTGATTGATTTGTATGTAATCACAGATCGAAATAGTTTTTGGCATGCTGTTTAATGAATTGGTCAGCCCCCAACTATCCTCAGCTTTGCATTATCCCTGGCAAGAAGGCATTGGATACTCTACTTGTAGGGACACTCATGATGAAAAGCAAGGCATCGGGGGAAATCAAGTACCACTAGATTTGTAGCTGTAGCTATATGAGATATTTTGACCTATACCATAATTCTGTTGAACAGGTACAGTATTAAGATATATGAAGCATTACAAGATGTTTTATTGCAAAAGGAGATCTTGCTGTACACGGAATCCCCACTTGTGTTCTGCCAGCCTACCTTGTATTGATATTAATCAACATGTATGTGACAGTGTATACATATATATAATAATCGGGTTGATTGCTTTTACTGTTAGGGTGGCTCACAGTGCATTGTGTCAGTATCTATCATGGTTGTTATGGACTTTTATTCTGTAGGGTTACACGATATTGAAATTCCATATGCTATCTCCTGGTTTTGAGTTGTCCTTCATTCGACACTGAATCCATCTGAATGACGTCAATTCCATCAGCCCGGCTTAGTTTTAGCCATCAGAATGTTTGCTGACGTAGATTATAATAAGACAGAGTAGGCTTAGTTTCTTTGATGTGCGCAGATGTGTATTGAAGGATGCGTAGACAAAACATGACTTGCATATTGCAGTGACTGAGTGAGTACCGGTATATAGATTTGTATGTTATCACTGGCAAGTTTGTTTGATGTCTCCAAATGGCATATGGCTCTTCAGAAACATAGTCGTGTATGCTTGGATTTCTAATTTTGCATATTGACTTTGAAGTTATGACAGACATTTGTTTTTCCATGCAACTTTGTTTGATAGATTACTAGTACATGCAGAAAGTTGTTTTTCTCTTGTGGCTCATAAATGTGCTAGAAGAGGCACATCAGCTCTATCATTCTGTGTTCTTCGTCCTGATGTTGTGCTCTCATGTCATGATGTTGTCAGTATGTCATAGAATCTGTCTTCAGCCTGCAAAGGAAGCAATTTCCAATAAGTAGTAGCTAGGAGAAAATTCATATTCATTATGGCATTAGTTAGCAGAGAGGTTGTAAAAAAACAACTTGTTTTCAGTCCTCCCCTGCCACACCCTGATTTATTTACAAAGGGACTTACATAAATGTTGTTGATCCTACACTGCCTCCAATTCAATCTATTTGTAACTGTGGGAAGATCAGCATACTAGTAGCCTATTAAAGATTTATATAACAACGGAAACAAAGTCCACACTGCTGATACAAGCTCGTCAGTTGATCAGTACTATTGGAGAACCATTTGGCACAACAACCATCCTGTGAATTAGGGGTTATTTTACCCAGGTTAGTTCTCATTTATTGATGATAATGTGACAGTGTCTGTTTGATCTAGGCACCACAAGAAGGATATCAGTGTCACTGTAACCTATAAACTGTTTGCTGTCTGGTTATAAAGCAAAACATATTGGAGATACAAAGTCCATGTCACAAAAGTGTAATAAACAAATGAGAAATTCAGTACTGTATCTGTATAGCCGGTATAACCGCCCTTTGACGTAACATACCAGCTTCGATACCTACCTAACCTTGCCAGCTTTGTCTCATCCTTGTATAAACATGTCATGATGATCGTACATATGTGATTAGTCCTCTAAATGAATGTGTATCTAGTTTTCTTGGTTTGACGTCATGTGTTGCTCTATCCTTGCTCCTTTCTCTGCTGGAAGCAGTGTGTCCTTCCAGTGAGGTGCTGGTATTGATAAAAGATATGCACGAAGTGAGGTTATTCTGGAGATGATATATTGTCCATGTCCTTAATCAGACTAACCTTCATTTTTAGATGTTTGTATAACCATGTCACAGCCTGTTTTTGGTTACTCTCATGGCCATCTTTCATTTCCTGGCAGGTCATGTATTCATTTATGACAGCTACTGGGTGTCTGTGCTTTTTTATATGTATTTCCGTATATGTAAGCTAACTTATAATAAACTGTAATATTAAGTAAAAGAAACATGTATAGTGCCTGAATGCCGAAATATACATAGGGAGTACTTCTTAGCTCCAGCATAAAAACTTAAAATACTCATAAATCATCATTCACATTCACAATTATCCAGAATTCAAACAATTCCAAATCTAATGTAAGCCTTGGCAGAATCATAATCAGATATGCTGTTGATTATTTATACATGAAAGAATGTCAGGGACTCAGGGTACATAGAAACTGTACAGTACAGGTTATGTAAATAATCCCATACTATCTGATATCAGTGATAAGCCTGTTTCTTGCCAAAATTAAGTAAACCTTGTGATTGAAAGCCTGTTATTACACACCTGATGCATCTGCAAACCATCTGATTTTGGTCTGTACGTGGTTGCTTCAGTTATATTACTATGCTGCATTATGTGTTATTGCTTGATATTAGTATGTTCAAAACTGGCTACATTATAGTGCATACAATGGTGTGTATCGATTCAATGTTTTAGCTGTTGATGTTTAACATGATATTCCAGTCCAATTTATTATATAAACTTTGATTGTTTAAATTTTGAAACAGACGGGTGGCTGTAATATCCAAAAGAAAGTCTTGGTTGTTTTCCCTGATGAAATTGTGTACTTTGGTAGCAGGAAGATGCCAGGTGTATGTGTATTTTAACACTTGCTAGTGATTCACACACATTAACAGCCTTGAGGACTGCTTGCTAATTGTTATGAAGCACCTGACTTGTTTCATGCCTTCTTGTTAACTAATGGAGGATTGGGAAGGAAGGCTGTGAAATGATTGAATAATCAACTGTTCTAATGCGTTGATTAATGCTTGTGATTAGAGCTAAGCTATGAAGGAGAGAGATTCAAACCTGGAACAGTAGATTTTACAATGTCGGCACTTTGTACCATCTTCTGTGTTCAGGTAAGCAAGTTTCTTGCAAAGTAGAAGATGACACTTTCATTTGTACCTTCAAGTGACCTGTGCAGATAAGTGGGTTGTATTATTATATTGCTCTACCTCTTGTTTCTAGAAGCTTGGTAGAGACTACTTCTTGGTCTTGCAAACAGACAGTTTTTAGTGTTCCTCCTCCCTCCCCTAAATAGTTGTCTTTTCTAGCAGTTGACAAGTTACAGCTTGAACCAGCTTGTTCAGACAAATCCTTGTGTTGTCATCAATTTTCTTGTCTGGACAGGTCTTTTTTTTTTCATTCTCCATATTTCATTTCATTTTTTCATTCTCTCAGCGATTTCGTACCCGTCTTTGACTGTGATTTGATTCCATAATGTTATTTCCTCAATCAAGACATTTACCTTGCCATGCCCTTTGATCTACAAAATTATTGGTGTACTATGACTGCGTTATTGGGGGCCGATGTGTTACTTTTGCCTTGTTCTTGGCAATCAGACAGTCCCACCCAACAATAACAGTGATTGGACAAAGGAGGTATGACCAACTGACAAAGGCAAAGACAACTGGTGTCAATCCTAGACAATCTAAACTGCCCGGCCACTTCATACCTCGGTCCATTCACACTGGGATTAATCATGTAATTTGTTGGCACTGATGTTGTCTTGCTATTATCACTTGGCACTGAGTTGTGGAGGTGTGAACTCTAAGGGCTGTACAGTTCATTCATGGATAGACAGAGGGTGGTCCATGTGTGTCTAAATAAAGTAGTCTCCTGCCCAGGCTTTTGTCTGGACAATGCCTTTCTTGTAAGGACAGGGCCATTAGGTACAAAGGGGAGGACTTCCATCAAATTTTTTTTCACACATGCCGAAGTAGTGATGCTTTTCATTTGGAAAGTACTTGAAAAGGATATATCTGCTATTTTATTAAAACTCCACAACAATCACCATAGAAGCTTTCGAGGAAAGTCTTAACATTTTTTTTGCTTTGATGTCCTATCCTTATGTTTGAAAACAATTTAATTCCAGCATTCTACAACCTCTTCCAAACAATAGCTGTATGCATGTCCCTTGGCATTTCTCCCCCGCCCCCAACATGGACTCTTCCAATTAGATCATGTGACCTCATCTGCATGAGGGGCCCATTGTACCCTGACCAGGGCCCCTTTTTTGTTGTCCAACTGGCATTGTTGCCCTCTGGTGTGCCAGATGGCCTCAGTCCTTGGTGGGAGTAGGGTGTGTTCAGGTGCATTTGTGGTGATCCAGGCCATATTCTCACAAGTCTAGGATGGTGGTAAGTACTCCTTTTCCAGTAGATCCTCCCCAGTACCAGCCACATCTTTGCTGATGCCCTTGGTGTAAGATTTACGTAGGCTAGCTTATGTGGAAAAGTCACGTACTAGCCCCAGATACACTTTTTTTACGTCAAAGCTTCTCTCCCAAGGCCTTTATTTGCATAGGGGACTGTCTTTCCATGATTCAGACCTTGAGTTGCATTGTGTGCAAATTATTTAGTCATCTCTGAAATTGATTTTCTAGTGGAAAGGCACACAATTGCCAGCTGCTAGTCATGGCTGTTGGTTTGGGATGACTAAATTTTGATCTGCTTAAAATTACCTTCACCCCAAATGCCCCCCTCCCACAGTTGACAAAAGGTTCCTTACTTAGATAGCAAAATTTTGTGAAATCTAAGCAAAATGTGTTGAATCAATGGTTTCAAATACTTCTGTTTCAAAATCTGTGTCATTTGACCCAGTCAAAATGGTGTGAGAGCAGAACTGGGGAGGCACAGCCACATCCCCATTTTTGGAGGGAAAACCCAGCCAGTCAGCCATTGGCAATCAAAACTGCCTGCCAAACAAAGGTCACAGCACATTCTTCTGTGTTTCTGCCCCAAAATCTACCAAAGATCCGTCCCACCTTGCATTCTGGTGGTAGATTTTCTCAGTCAGACACATGCGTCATATAAGCAGGGGCACTGATAGGGAGTTTCAGTCTGTCCCCAGTTTTGGAGGGAAGAGTAGGTCACGTTTCTGGCCAAATTGTGTTCACGTACATCCCTTGATCAAACAAGGGTTTAGGCAGATTCTTACGTACAGGGAAGGTTTTTCTATTGTAGTATGTCACGACTGAAGTGTCTGGCTTTTTCTAGCCTGATAATTTTTGGCCAGGAGTCCGGATGTTGTCCTGTTTTGTGCTGGGCAGACAGTTTCCGGGACGTCCCGTTTCCCTCCAAAATTTACATAAGGGGGGTAAATACACCAAGATTAGCCATTTACCGTTAGGCAGGCTGATTGAAAAAGGTCTGTATGGATTTTTGAAGGTGTAACAAATGTACGTGAACATTTAGTTTGCAGAAGACAGGGAAAATTGCTGATTTTAGCGTGATTATTTGTCAGGCTTTTGCCTGTGTGGGAGGGGGGCAAATGATTCACTGATGACATGATGCAATGCCTTAGGCTGTAGGAGTGTGGATCACTACACAAATTGTCTGGCTGTTATGTGGAAGTTCCACACTGATATATGGAAGTTGTGATGTTATTCTTCATCACAAAATGATTTTTAATTATCACAACAGAATTGGATGAAGAAATTATGGTTTTTGTTAACGCTTCATATTTTTATTCCCAGAATACATTTTTAAGTACATACATTGGTAGAAAATGCTGAAAACACATTGTTAAGCAGGATCAGTAATGTGCTTATTTGTTGCATTTGTAGCTGTTTGTTGTTTCTTTAATCATTTGCACAAGATTGACGTACAATTTGTTTATATTTCCGGTTGAGAGCCTCATTTAGTTTCCTTTTATGATGCGAACTTGTGTTGTAAGTTACAATGCCAAGGTAAATAGGTAGTGCTTTGATTTACCTGTGAAATGAAGCTACTGAAACATTTGTTATTCCTAATAATTGGGCTGAGAAAGAACTGATTGGCATCACTCTATGTGTTGCTTTTAGTACTTGCCTGTATTTTCTTTGCTTACTTTATACACGTGTGTTGTCAATACACTTGTGTAATATGTAAAAATGTTGGTGACAGAGGTTTACTTAGAAATGTTAGAGGAGGTATCAAGAGTGGCAAATACAGCTATGCGTGGCAATAAAGATATCATTTGTATTCCATGTGCTGATTCTTTGTAAAATTTATTGCATTTTTGTTCAGAACAAATAGCAATTTTCAGGTAGTTTTGGTCCAGCTGGTCCAACACAATTGACATCAGAACAAAGACTCTGCCAGCAGGTCATATCTTTGACATGTGTCCCTGGCTCTCTTTCCCTTTGTGTGTGGGACACTGACCAATTTCCCTCGGGATGGACCCCACTGCAAGTTGATTATTTTTGTACAATACACAGGTGAAATGGAAGATGCAGATTTATGTCTGGAAGTCCTGAATCAACAAAGATCAAAGAAACTCAAAAGTTCTTGTTTTTCTGGACAATGTTAGCTTCCTTTTTCCCCATAGTAAAGAACAGCTGCCTTCCAAATGTACTGTTGATGCAGTTTTGCTTTCTGTGATACATTGTGTAACACATGCATTTTTTCCTGTTTTCCCTGTGCAGCAAACAAGAAGCAGTGGTGCAGCAGTTGCCCATAACACACGCCTCCGCAGCCTGCGGGAGTGCAACTGCCTGAGGTCCCGGATACGCCAACTGCGGGAGCAGACCCGCCGACAGGTTTCCAGGATTTCCAGCGCGAACAGACAAGTGCGGGCCATGGGACAGAAGGTGTCTGGGGGGGTGAAGACGGCAGGGCCAGGACGGGAGCCTTCGCTGAAGGCGCTGAACTCAGACAGGGACTTGTTACACCCCGACATGCAGAAACCTAGCCGACTAGATATGCTCCTTGATATGCCTCAAGCAGACAGGGAAACACAGGTCAAACACGCGTGGAACAACGAAGATCGGTCTCTGAACATTTTTGTGAAGGAAGACGACAAACTCACCTTCCACAGACACCCGGTTGCTCAGAGTACGGACTGCATTCGTGGCAAAGTTGGGTACACAAGAGGACTTCATGTATGGGAGATTCACTGGAGCACGAGACAGCGGGGGACGCATGCGGTGGTAGGCGTAGCGACAGAGCACGCCGCCTTGCATTCGGTAGGGTACCAGTCTCTGGTGGGAAGCAACGCAGAGTCGTGGGGCTGGGACTTGGGAAGGAACAAGCTCTACCACGATAGTAAAAACAACCCCGGAATCACGTACCCTAGGACATTGAAAGCAGACGAGAACTTCGTGGTACCAGACAAGTTCCTTGTAGTTTTAGACATGGATGAGGGCACAATCAGTTTTGTAGTGGACGGACAGTTCTTGGGCATTGCCTTCCGTGGACTGAAGGGGAAGAAGTTGTACCCAATTGTCAGCGCAGTGTGGGGACATTGTGAGATCACCACCAAGTACATTGGAGGCTTGGATCGTAAGTATATTTTTTAATATTAATATTAATAATAATAATAATAACCTTTATTGTACATTCATGCCCTATCGGGCTAAGTACAGGTCAACAGATGAAATTGGTAATATACATGTTTGTAGTACAAACAGATCTAAAATTACTAATCTATCTAATACAGGGGTTCGGCTTCTTCTCGTTTCTTTGAGATGTTTATGTTCACTGTAGTTGCACACATGCAAGTACAGTGAACCCTACCATGTTGCAGTATTAGAACTAAACATTGTGTCAGAAAAGTTCCTACTATTGTTGAGTTAACATGTGAAAGCCATGGCAACATCCTAAACTGTACAGTAGTACATATAGAGAAAGGTCCACATGGCTTCATGTTTTTGTCACACCCTGCTCATAAGTCATGGGGTAACAAGATGTAGTATGCGCATCTACAGCATGGATTAGACAAATGGTGAGAGATTTGGTTCTGTCCCATGGGAAACGAGGGACTCTCTTCAATGTGTTATGTAGTGAAACCCTCACACGTGCTGGTGGTTATGCATAATGATAGACTTGACTGTAATATCTGTGGGATTACTTAGATGATGAAAAATTGACATGGCTGGTGGTGTGACAGGGTGGAGGGAGGGGCACAGCTGAGGGGCAGCTGGGAAAATAGTGGACAGGGCAACAAAGGCCAAGCATGTCATCTACAGGTCATCTGGACTTGAAACAAAACTGTCCTACTTTGTAGTCATTGTTGTAACAAAATTCTTCATATGGAAGTAGCTGTGAAACTCTGACATAACTGTTGGTTATTTGACCTATCCTTTGTTTTACTTAATTAAGGCATTTAGGATTCAGTCACAAGTGTTTGCACAATAGAACAAATCTAACGTACACTATGATGAAAACCATATAAAACAGTAATGGGAAGGTTGTAGATATATTTCTAAAACTCCAGATTCAAACATAAAGTAGGTGGGCCAACATCCAAGCTGTGGAGCGTGTTCTGGATGGAAGGTAGACAGCTGCAGTGGCAGGTGGTGTCTTCATGTAGCTGTAGGGGTTCATCTAATTACATGCACAGAGTCAGTGTATTATCAGATGCGATGCCCTATGTGGGCTCTGAGCTATCTCTTCTTGCATGTACTAGTATGGATTCTTTCAATTGAAAGTAGACACTATGGCAAAATTACAAAGAAGTGAATTGTTTCGAATCAAGGTTCATTTGTAGTATGTATTTCACTGAAAATGCACAGGGTTAAAATGTCTGGAGCAGGTGAAGCAGTTTCAGCTATTTACACTCAATTCATGTTGGTCAAACTGATGAAAGCTTCAAGTGAATTCAATCTGCAAGTTCAAAATATTATATGACAGTGTACACATAAAGCAATGGCTATATATGCCAGGCAGCCTGAATTTCTTTTTATTGAAGTGAAAGAATGGTACGTGCTTGGCCAAGGTCAGAGGTATAGCATGACAGTGGAACTGAAGCCTGTGTGATGAGAGCCTCAGGAGACAGTCATGTTGATCTTGCAGCTGTCACCATAAATGGATAATGAACAGAAATACAGGATATTTATATAAGAAACCTAAAACAAATATTTCATCCTACTGTTCTTTGTTGCTGTAAAAAATTTCATGCATATAGTATATAGATGACTAAGAGGAAAATTTATCAGAAGTCATTATACGTGTAGTTATTATAATATTGAAATTATTAGAAGAAATGACTAGAAAGGATTATGTCTGGATGTGTAAATTGTAATGTCTACATTGTGACTGTATTGACTGATGAACTTGCGTTCTGTGTTGCTCTACAGCGGAACCCCTGCCGTTGATGGACCTGTGCAGGCGAACCATCCGTCTGTCGCTGGGGAAAGACCGCCTGAAGGATGTGCCCAAACTCCCTCTCCCTCAGGCTCTCAAGAACTACCTGCTGTACCAATAGCAGCTGCGTAGCTCTTCGCTGATGCCAGAGGACGTGTAACGAGGTCAACACGCATTTCTCTCTACCACCCCTATTTCTCCGGTTGACGGGCACTTTGAAGGAAGCAAGTATTTTTGAGATCATAACATAACAATATAGGAGTGGTAGAGAAAATGCAATGCAAGAATAATAAGGAAATGTTATGTCTGATCTAATATATGCCAACCTATTGCTTAAGAAGCAGTATAATTGTTACAAGCAGAAGATGGTTTAATGAACTCAACCTTATAAAACGTTAATTCCTCGGAAGACTACATGCTTGGTACAGGTTGATTTAATTGTAAGCATTCTAAATTTTATTTTATTTTCAGAGTCATGATTTGTTTCTTATGAGACATTATAGTATATTTTTAATTCTGTTACAAGACATGTCCACAAGTATAGCTAGGTCTTATTGTGACATGTATGTGAGCTCGAAAGTATTAAAAATACATCTTAAAACTGGAGAGGGAACATTCACTTCTGGAGATCTGTACGAGATTTAAGAAGAGAACTTGCAGAGGATTGATCTTGCCTCACCTAGAAGAGGCCTCAGTTCTTACAGTAACGCTGATGATCAGATCCACCAGTAAAATATGTTATGGTCATTTCTATTTCTTGCGTTAAATCGTCTGTACCATGTTGGTATCTGCATTAAGACTCTGCGCAACCCAAAGACAGTTGGTCCAAGAAAGTCAATGATATTGTTGTAATAGCTGAAAACATTATTTGAAGATTTTACTTAGTTCTGTCTTCCTTCTTAGAATGAAAAATGTATCTAATGAAGTCATATTTTAAATTAAGTTATAGCTCATTTTAGGAATTAGAGCTGTGTAGATAAGTGAAGTTGTGTATGATACCACTTCAGAAATGGACAAAGCATTGTATTGTTATTTTTCACCTTATAAAAAGACGTCCAAAGAAAGTATGGCAATATACAAGGATGATAATTTGAACCAGTGCTTTTGATGCAACCTGTTTTAAATCTGCGTAACGTTGTAGCAATTGCTTTTGAAGCAGGAAGGCATGATTGTACTGTTAATACAGATATTGCTGATGTTTTAGAGAAAATTTATCGTAGCGCAGCCTGCTTCCCTGTAAATCTTGTCTATGTTCAACTTAGTTGAAGCTGCACCATAGAGAAAGAAATTACCTTGAACCAGTCACAAGCAGTGTTAACTCAACTATCAACGGAGATCAAGTTTTGGGCATGGTTTAAAACAGGCACTCGATGTATTTTAATTCCATGAGTAGTTAGGATGAAAAGTGTTCATTAACCATCTCCCTACTGGTTTATACTGCCATCAATACATCTGATGCATGTATAGGCCTATTAGTATTACAGGGGCATAGTTAATGTACAGTTAAATTGACTAGCAGCACATAGATGATGTTTTTAGCAAAATGTTGGCACTAGTGAACGTTGTCCTGCTGGTGATGACTTAGAAACAACTTGCAATGTCACTTGTGTACATGTATGTTGAGTGCCCTGTCTGGCTGACAGCTTACCTTATTCGTTGACCAAAACTCTCCCGTCCAATCCATGCTGAAGGTTTTGCCCCATTTGTATTACTAGTATTTGTGGGGAGAAAATATTATGGACTGTTGTGTACCTGAAGCCACACAAAGCCATGCTTTTACTCACACCACCAGTGGTTGTCTTGCCAAAAATAGCTGATGTTATGGAAGACAGTTTCACCTCACAAAATCCACAGCTGTACCAGTCTGCTGTGATTGTGTTTTTCTCCAGCCCCTTGTCTCCTTGACAAACAGCTCCTTGTAGGTTTTAGGTAGAGGAAAATGATGTTTTCCACATGACAGCCTTAACATAACAGAGATATAGACCCTTATAGGCTGCAAATGTACAAATTTCATTTCGTCTGCTTGTATGTGGATTATACCGAAGCGCTGCGCATTGTTGTAATTTCTACATTTAACTGCAGCTGTGCCTGTGTACATAGAATGAAAGTTCACTATATTCTTAATCACAGATGCAGTTAGAATGTTTGGAATCCGTTCCTTGATTGGTTGGTGTAGTCTAATGTAGTTTATAGTGCCGTCATCACAATTGTATTATTGAGTCATGGCCAGTAGTGCTGAATAAAAAATGTCACTTTTATCATACTTCCTTGTCTGTGTGTTTCATGAGCTTAGTCTGTACTAGGTCAGGGCCATCTATTGAACATTGTATAAAGAGTCAGAGGCAAACTGAGTACCATGTATGGTAGATGTACCCAACTAGTAATTCGCTTCTACCGGAGCAGTTTTAGTCATTTATTGTAACCTTCTAAGAAAAAATAACAGGTTATGAAAGTTGTGCAACTTAAGTATAAAAGCTACTAGTGAAGTGAAATGCTTGAATTAAAGCAAACTAGTATTCTAGATCTACCTATGAATATAAAAAGACCAACAATAATCTCAACTTTACCTTGCTTAAGGTATCGCACTAACTTAAGATAGTACAATGTGCTTGTGTAAAACGTGTTGGGATAAAAGGGAATGTCACTAAATGTTGACACAGTATACTAGTATTAGAACTTCAGTTCTCTTGCTCTAGTCAACAGTCTGTTACTCCTGGTATACTTACATCCCACATAGATGTAATTCACAAAGTACTTGAAAAAAAATCTTTCTAACTGCCTTTCTACTTCTTAGATACCACTAGTGGTCCAAATTCCCACAGTTGTACAACTATACTGTTGAGCAACTCTGCATGAACATCACTGGTCCTGAAGCTTCTTCTTGATCTTGGCGGCCATCTTGCCTGCAGACGGGCGTGGCCGTGGTCTCCTGGCAGCCCCAGGTGTGTCCAGGTGTGCTGCCAGCTCCCCCTGCATCTTCTCCATCAGCTTCTCCTGCTTGTCCTGGAGAATCTCCTTACGCTGCCAAATCAGTATGTTGTATCCTGAAGGAAACAATGAATATACAGTTGTTCGACTCAACGAATGGCTTAGCCTATATCTTGTTTGGTTCATCAAAAAGACACTACCCCAGCCAGTGTCCACTATCCCTATAAGCAGATTTCAAGATTGGTAAAGAAAGAATACACCTACCCATTGCTGACAGCAGTGACTCACCACTTGAACTGAACCTGTTGAGCTGTAGAGTACATATACATGTGTTAACCCAAAAATGAGACAACAAAGTACTGGCTTTTACTCTAGAAAATACTAGCAAATGTTTGCTACCAATAGAAATCTTGTCAACACTGTGTACCGGAAACTGATAAAGTACTTCATTGCATAACTGGAAATAGTGATGGAAAAAGAATTGGGCTGATAATCATTTTACTACAATAGTACAAATTAAGCAGCAAGACCAACTGTATGAGACTTACAATGCTACCACATTACTTATGTACACCAAAAGTGTCATACAGTGACAGGGCTACCACTACTTACCGACTTGATACCAGGAGCCCCCTGGTCCCGTAGCTGACACACCGTCTCTCCTGTGTTGATGTTGATGATGTCGATGGTGTTCGCCTCCCCAGGCCTGTGATGGGGAGACTTGTTATCTGGATACCTGCCCACCACAGCCAGGTCATACATGGGGTGCCAGCAAGCCTGAATGTACAAATTTTACAAAACAACAAAGAATTAATTTTCCTGGCATTTGTAGTAATGCTGAAGAGAATTACATTACATACTTCTATATCTCTTGGTTTGACTTTGCTGTCTATATACACACATGCATGTACATGTACATACATGTAGTTATCATATGAACGTCTTGCCTGACTTCACCACACAATATTGGAGAACCTTAAGACTGCATTGGTCCCTAAACATTTTAGTCTTTACCGGTAACTTGACTTGTGGGGAATGTGGCTCTTTGGCACTCCAAGAAGAGGTTTAGGTTTAGCCCTGCCAATTTGATACTGTCTTGCAGCCACAAAAAGATCTACTTGGATATTAGCTCCTTGGAAGTGTGCATGTGTAAACAATCTTAAATCCTGATTTTTGAAAGAAGTGTCTGATAAACTTTGAGAGTTTCAGGACATCACCTTGATGGGAGTGAGATGCTGGAAGAACCTGTGTGGATGGTAGATGGCAGTGTCCAGCCAGCCCCAGTCTGGCCCACTGTACACTCGCAGGTCATGGTGCTGGTCAGTGGTCAGCAGCTTGCAGTGGTCATTGGGGCTGAAATAGGCTATAGAGACAACAAAAACTCAGCAAAAATGCCACACATCTATTGAGAAATTATACTCCTTTTTCATCATATCTCGAATACCATAACCAGCCATTAGCTACCAGTCATACTGCATGGGTAGCAATAGTCTTGTAGGATAATGTTATAATAAAATCAGTAATAGACAGTTTTAGACCATCATGCAGTTGGCTGACAGGTAAATGATGAAGATAATAAAGATGAAAATCTGCAATGAGTGTTTGTTTTCCACCCTTCTAACATGAGCACTAAACTAAAATAGGAGAAACTTTCAGATTACAAGGAAATACCTGTTGACAAACAAATAGCAACATGACAAATGAAACACACCACTGTTGATGGGATGGTCATGCTCCAGAGTGTACAGTGCACTGCCCCTCCCCTCCACCATACGCATGTCCCACAGCTTCACTGTTCTGTCTGTAGACGCCGTCACCAGCAGCCAATCACAGCCAGGGTTGAACTCCACATGGGTCACCTTTGACTTGTGCAGTCGATGCTGCCATAACTAAGACAGAGAGAAGAAACAGAATTGTTGACAGTGTATTTCTTCATGCAATTGTTGATGTTGCTACAGACTAAGTTTGATAATCTACCCATGGACTTTTAACTAACTAAACTTATAAAGCTAAGTTGGTTTCCATGCATGTAAAATTAAAAGAAATGTCCACCAAGTGAATGCCCGGACAACCAGCTACTGCCGATGATGATGATGTATAGTCCCATACTCAGAAGCTAAACTAGGTAAATTGGAAAACAGTAAGTTATCAGCAACGTGGCATTGTGAGGGGAAAACCAACCAGTGCCTCACCTTGTGTCCATCTGTGTCCATCATGACTACATGGCCTTGACTTTCTCCTGCCACCACCATCTTGAGTGGGGCACTCACATCTGCTGAACAGTACCAGTTACTGTAAGGTAAAGTATTCATGAGTTAGTCTTTTTTCATCATGCACAATTTTGGCAATATCATTTGTAGTATCCCATTCCATCCCTTGAAAAAGATTTTCATTTTCTGAGCACAGAATATATCATCATCATCAAGCTGAAATGAACCAGTATTGTTTCTATCATATGACCAATTTACCTCCAGCTATTTGTGGATAGAAAGTTCCTGTTGTTTCTGCCACTGAAGTCTAGAAGATTGACAGTTCCATCGAGCTGAGCAGTGTAGACCTGGCTGTCATTCCAGGGAGAGAATTTCAGTGCAGACACATAGCCTCCTGGACCACGCTGCAGAAGGAAATAGAGTTATAGTTTACATGTATGTAAGATGTCAATATTCAACTTTTAGGCTTATCCAAGAAAGAGACATTGAGGTTATAGTGAAAGAATGATAGAGATGATGCCAGAGGACTTGCTAGAGAAGAAAATACATTGTGAAATACTGAAACAAGAAAGAATGTAGGGATAGAGAAGTGACTATAGCATGGTATGGGTAAGAGGGGGAGAAATTATCAACATTGGGTTGAGAGGAGAGAATGACTATTCAGATGTGCTCCTGATTTGATTGATAAAAGTTGAAATACTGACACATAAAGAAGAATATGAAACTAACCCCTTGAATGAAACAGTCTGCACCGACTTTCTCAAAGTTCCACAAGAAGATGTCCCCACCCTTTGACCCTGCTGCTATCATGGTGGGGTGGGAGGGGTGCCACTCCAGGGCCGTGACTCGTCTGTCAAATGGACTGGCTGTACGATACAGACCCAGGGAGCGCAAGGTGCGCAGGTACGGCTCATGGGGTGATGCATACACCTAGGAAGGGGAATAACATTTGTTTAAGTATCACATTTGGTCAAAAGATTTGGTTAAGCCGCCCAACATGATGATGATGAATTATCATGCATTCCATTCTTCCAATCTTACTCAAAAGTTCAGTGACCATTTTCGCTTGATGAGATGATTACCACAGATTGTTTCCATGAAAAGCATAAAAGTCCGTCTTTACATAATTTACACAAAATTTGTTTTTCAGCATACACTAATAGATATTTACCTTTCCATTGTTATTGAGTCCCATGGTAGTTCTGTTGAGAGACAGAACAATGTTGCTTGACTTCCTCCGAGTCACCTCAAATAACACTTCCCTGTCCTCCAAGTTCACGTACTGCTGGGTTGTCTTCTCCTTGGGACTTTTAGCTTCTTTCCCTCTCTTGTCTTGCCCCTTGGCCTTTCCCTTATTTCCTCCTGTCTTTTTGCCACTTGACGGGTGCTCTGTGTTCGAAGATTTCTTTCTACTTGCTTTTGATGAGGTACTTGAAGAAGCAGGACTTTTCTTCACCTTGACTTTAAGACACTCCATGATAGGAGTGCCAGAAGTTGCCTTCTTCCTTTGTGTAGGTGTTACCTTACTGGTTGAAGGAGTTGGTTCGGCTGCTTTTGTTTCTGCTAACATCTTTGGCGTCTTTGGACTTTTCTGGTATCTGAAAGCTGACAGGCCCTTCTTGACTTCTTCCAGTTGTGGGGATGGGTTCTCTTGGTCAGAATCTGAATCATCATCAGACAAATGTGATGCCAGTTTCTTTTGATGCATTTTTCCATTTTTCTTCTCATGCCCTTTGCCATTAACTACAGTGTCCATCTTAGAGTCTTTCCTTTTCTTACCTGGGGTCATATCTGCTTTCCCATTTGTCACTGCACTTGTTTTCCTTGCTGCATTTCTACTGCTTGCAGCAAGCTTTGCAGATTTCACTCCAACTTTCCTTGTCTTTGTATCATTCGACTCCTGTTCTCGTATTGATGCACCCTGGCCTCTCTTACTACTTGAAGTACTTGGCTTGTCTTGATCCGAATCTGAGTCGTTGCCAGAGAGATCTGATGCTTGATTCTTTGCCCCTACTTTGCCATTTTTCTTTCCATGATTTTTGCCGTTGACAGACACCGACTTAGCAGAAGTTTCACTCTTTAGCTTCATGTTGGAAGTCTTTCTTGCAGAAGCTGGACTCGTCCTGCTGGACAGCGATCGCCTCTTGGCTTTGCGAGGCTGAAACTCTGGATTCTCAAAATCATCTTCATCACTGCTGGATGGAGCCTCGAGATGCTTTCTCTTCTTGGACTTCTTGGATGCAGGAGCCATAATTACTGCCAGTGTAATTTTTACACTCAGTTTATACAGAACATACCTGAAACATGGAATTATGAATATTTAGTTGCCAGATGTCTTGTACATTTATTGATTTAGTTGTTTATTAGTAACTACACTTAGGCAAGAACTCAAACTATGTTATATAATTATGAGTTTGAATTACCATCCACATATATTTCTCCGGGTTTCTTGGACTATATTCCTGGGATAAAGAATGCGTTTAGAGAGTGCACCTACTAGTACAGTATGTACTTGCCCCCCCCCCCCCCCAAACACACAAATCCTGATGACTTTGCTGAAAAATTATCCGATAACAACAAGCTATAGCGATCTACTTCATTGCTACACTGAATATTTTCTTAACTCACCACTGCTCTTGTATTCTTAAAAGGGCATTAGAAGGTCAAATTCAGCAAAAGCCGACCGTGGAAACTGGACAGATGCACTTATCTATATATATAATAGGCGTTACACAAGCTGATCTGCATTTGTTGTTGTGTAAGGCGAATGTGGCGCGAAAATAGTCACGTGGGTGACATAAATACAAACACATGTCGGTGGGCGTGGCAACTAAATATTCGGTTAGGTCTGAGAACTGCTTTCTTCTATCACAACAAAGAGTTCTCCTTGTTAAGTGTGAGTGTAATAATCATCGACAGATTCCTTTGAAACAATAAAGTTTAATCGGATGGGCCGATGGATTCCGCTCTGGTTCACCGACAGTACTGTAGCCGACGTTGTTTTCCGCAGATTCGACTATACATGTCACATGAGAGTTGTAAAAAATACATTTCGGGTTAAAGATATGCCATTGATAATACTTATTGAAGAAAAATCTATATCACAGTCTCTTTTCTCTCTTTTTGTCGTCCAATAACCTACGATAACTTTGAAATGCTAAAAATAGTCTATGCCGAATGCGCGGTTTGAAACAGCGCCACATGTTCACACACTCCATGTGGCGGGCCTTTGACCTCACGTAGCTCACACACGGCGAGTCGGAGGGGAGTTTGTCTTTGTCTGTGGTGTAAAATAAAGGTAAGAACTTTAATATTGCGCCAATTATCCACAAGTATGTCATGCTCAGTTGTTACCCGTTGTCTTGACAGAGTGACGCTATATTTGGACGAACGTGCATTTAATTTTCTCCCCCACAAAACTGTGTTCAGCAAATTTTCAAGTCGGTCACCTTGGATTGTTTTACAACATAATTTTTTGATGTGACGTTACTTTATATATCTCCAGAACGAAAACCATGTCGGGAAACAACAGGAAGTTTTTCGTGGGCGGGAACTGGAAGATGAACGGCAGTAAAAACTCCATCGACGAGATCTGCGGCTGGCTGACGGCAGGGGACAGGGGAGACACCGGTAAGGGTTTATGTGGGTCACTGTCGTGAAGATATGCAGTGTGGGGAGGGGGGCGTTCCTGCCATTGGCATAATTTTTGTACTTATTAACCTTGCACGTGCAGTCTTGACATGCGGCTATGTGAGTATCCTAATAGTATCATATGTCTTAAGGACGATTAATTACTCACCATATTAAACCAAGGAGGACCTCCTTGCCTATAAATTCATATTACATGTACTGGTGCACTACTAGAAAATATATGTTGACCTAAGTCATATTGGAGGACTGGAATTTAATTCCAATTGTCTGGTTAATCCAGTGGTCTTAAGGCATAACTCTTTTCCTTTGCTTTTAAGTCGCTAGAGTTGACAATGTATGCAGCAGTATTCAGGCCAGTGATATTCCCCCAATTCAGAAAGTTACAGTGACTATTAGTCACTGACTAACATGTAGAGTGGTGAAATGTTGAAAGATGTTTGTTCCATGACAGAGGTTGTTGTTGGCCCTCCCACCATCTACCTGGGCTACGTGCAGGGAAAGTTGGCAGGAAGCGGTGTTCAAGCAGCAGCACAGAACTGTTACAAGGTGCCCAAGGGAGCTTTCACGGGGGAGAACAGGTACAGAAATATCTGCCATGGTGTTTTTGACAATTATTCGATTGTCATCGATTAATTGTGAAGAGATTAAAAGAATGTCTTTGACAAATTTCCAGCATCTACCATCTTAATCACAAGGTGACAATGCTTTTCTCAACACTTACAGGTAGTCAACTGTTGATGTTTTGTCCTTTTCTAACTTGACAATTTTTCCATTACTTTTAGCCCTGCTATGATCAAGGACATTGGCTGTGAGTGGGTCATCTTGGGTCACTCAGAGAGGAGGAATGTGTTTGGGGAGACTGATGAGGTAAGTAATGTTACAGACTTCTCTTTTTCTTCTTCAAGTCTGTATCTGTATCTGTATGGCCGGTTTGTCCGCCCTTCGGCGTAACACACCAGCTTTGCAGGCACGCAGCACGGCGGCAGTTCTGTCCATTAAAATTAAAGTAGAAAAGTAGAAGAATCAGATGTACAAAAAGAGCAGAAAGCTGGCTAAGTTGCTGGTGCTGCTGATGTGGTTTTTGTTTTTTAAGGAACAAAGCATCAATCATGAATATATCATTTTTCTGTAGCTGATTGCTGAGAAGATTGAGCATGCCCTTGCGGAGGGGTTGAAGGTCATCGCCTGTATTGGAGAGAAGCTGGAGGAACGTGAGGCGGGGAAGACAGAAGAAGTCGTCTTCAGGCAGACCCAGGCTTTCAAAGGTTAGTCTGTTGTCTAGATTGTAGACTTGACTTTGATTTTATTTGGATTAAAATGACATAAAATGCCTGGAGGAGTTGGAGTACAGACAGCAAGTTGCTGATAGTGTGCACCATACATTCAACATTACAACATATTAGGTTCAACATTTTATGCAAAATGCAATTCAATATCTTTTCTGCAATCATCATGCTATTTTTCACACCTGTCTTGATTCTGCTGTAATGTTAGAAGTCTCTATATCTCATTCATACATGGCACTAGCCTGGCTCAAAGTTATCCGTACACTAACATGGTACTGGACTTGGCAAGTATCTTATTATAGACCTCTGTAGACTAACATATCATTATAGCTGAACTTTTTTCAGTCATTATTGTTTGGGGGACGGGCTGCCATCAAGCCCCAGATGTATTGTGAAAGCACGTCTAACCCTCGGAAGAAAGGGAACAACAGATTATAAACCAGGCAGTGAGTGTGAGTGAGTCACTATTGTTTGTATTTTCTGTCCTTAAGACAAGGTGCAAGACTGGAGCAAGGTGGTTCTGGCTTATGAACCTGTCTGGGCTATCGGAACAGGCAAGGTGGCAACCCCAAAACAGGTGAGACAAGGTGGAACTGTTGGGCTCTGTTGGGACATAAAGCCCATACACATTGTTATTGTCTGTAAATTTTTGAAACAAATGTTGCTGAATAGTTCAAGCGTGATGATAGGGATCACCAACATCTCCATCTACCAACCAAGATGTGCACTTGGGCCACAGAGATTTTGATGTAAAATTTAACAAGAGGACTTTAAGAAAACATCAAGGAATAGGAAGAAAATTTCAGTTGTTCTCAGGATTTGCTGACAAAGTATGCTGTAAAAGTTCTAGAGGTGTGTTGGGTGTAGGTGCTGTGTGATAACAACAATGCTATGATGAAGTTGTGCATGACATTTCAGGCCCAGGAGGTCCATGCCAGTCTGCGTACCTGGCTATCTGAGAACGTGTCTCCTGCAGTAGCTAACTCACTCCGCATCATCTATGGAGGTAACATGTTCTATTCTATATCAAACATTAAGTAAGATACCTTTACAGTTTTATGTGAAAATCAATTGAAATCCATGAAGACTACTGCTGTTTTTATGTATGCACTACGATAGGATAGTTGAGATACACTTAAGTACCAAAGTTTCAATCTCTTTTGAAGATTGCAGAACACTTGTGATAATGCAATGTTATTCTTAATCTCTCCTAGGTTCGGTGTCAGCCAATAACTGCAAAGACCTGGCCACCCAGGGTGACATTGATGGCTTCCTTGTGGGCGGAGCCTCCCTGAAGCCGGACTTTGTTCAAATTATCAATGCACGCAAATAAAGCTTGAGGATAGCAAGAAGTTGTTGCAGAACAGAAACTGTATCCTTGACTATAACAAAGAGAAAAAGCAAGTCGAATAGTGCACTCTAAAACTAGTGTAGGGCATAGGTGGTGCTTAGCTACTGTCTGTGGTATTGTGGTCTCTTCACAGTACAAAAACATGCTTGAAACAGAGTGTAGAGGTGAGAGTTAGACTGCTAAATGTTGGCTTGTCATTAAGGTCTGTAATGTGTTGAAACATAAAGGTTTATGAAGTACCTGAGGTACATACAAAATGTAAGAGAAGCCACAGGAGGGATGAACAATAATTTGTAAGAAATTGATAATACATTTGTAGTTTATTGTCCTGAAAGAGGTCATTAAAATCTGGGTTGAAGCAACTCTATTTTAGCATACAGAAGGTTATATTAGGGGAACTGAATCTGTCATAGGGTGTGGCAACATGAGAAATAAATGCTGTGATAATATATGAATGTTGTATCGAGAGTTTTTATTTTGTTTCATAAAGCTTGAGTGAAATTTAAAATACTACTATAGAGATTTATTTACATGTATATACATGTACACTATGGAATGCAGCACTAAAATGCAAATCATTACTGATACTTAGAGACTTTTTTTTACAATATACTGTCATACCTTTCATTTTATTTACAGAGCAACTTCGGTTCACTTGAAATTGACAGTTGTGTATCAGCCATAGATAGATTCATAAAAATTGTAAATTCCAATATTTACATTGACAGTTACCAGTATTATTGACATTGCAAGAAAGATAAAATGAGCTGCATGTAGATGAAGATGCAAATACTAGTTACATGATATGTACAGCACTCAAACATACATGCATTTAGAAAACATTCATAATGTCACAAGTCATCAATGTTACACATGCTTGTAACTTTACATAACATTGCATGCTCTTGTTCCAGCTGCTTTAGTATCAGTGCCCTGAATTTCACCTTTAACTCCAGACATTTCATATCTCCTTTCAAATTCGTCTCCAGATAGGGGCGGAGATGACAAAGAGGGCTTGAGTTCAGATGTGCTTGTCTCTAGTGGAGTGTGCCTGTGTAAGTACCTTTCTGGATGGACATCAGACCAGATGTTATGGTGTTGTTTCAATATCTGAACACCCTCACTACTGAAGCAATTCCGGCTGAGATCAACATGGCATGGCCTACTCATTCCCTTCACAGTGTCAACTACTAGCTGAGCAACGGCATCAGTCATCATATTCTCTCTCAATTCTATCCTATATAAGTTTGGGAGCAAACTTATCTTTCCCATCAACACAGCACCACCTCTATCAGAGATCTCATTGGAAGACAGATTGAGGTGTCTCACTGACTTCATCTTGTGAAAAGCCTCTGAAATTACAATGGAGCCATCATCTGATAACTTGTTACGACTCAGATCAAGGTCTTCCAAGCAGAGCAGATTACCAACATGGGCTGCAAATGACTTTGCACCAGATAAAGACATTTGGTTTGATGATAGGTTGAGTGTTTTTAGTGATTTCTTGTTTACAAACACCTCTGCTATAGCAGTGCATCCTATGTCACTTATTTTGCAGTTATTCAACTGAAGCTCCTCAAGACATTCGGAATGCTGAAGACTGACTCCGACTGCCTTTGCCTCATCATCTGACATATGTACACGTATTTCTAGTTTTTGTAGCTTTTTAAGTGTCTTGAGGTGCTTCACAACATAAGAAAGAGCTGTTCCTGATTCTTTGTAACGATTACTTATTCTTAGGTCCTTTAGATTAGACAGCCTGGGGAGGAGCTCTCCTATAGCTGCACCCATCGCATCATTCCACTGAGCTAGCAGCACAGTTATATCAAGCTTGGCCAACTGCCATGAACCCTTAATGCTGTTACACAGCACATCAACTTCAGTAGCTGAGATAAAGATACACTTATCCAATTCTAGGTCCTGTAAGCAGGCGAGATGGGGCAGGCTTGACATAAACATAGTTGTTGGACTAGTTATGCGATTGGATGTACTGCAGTATTTGGTACTCGGAGAAATTTGGCTGTCAAGAGGTAGATCATCCTCTTCATAGTTAAACCAAGTCAGATCTAGATCAGTGAGAGAAAACATGTGCTTCATAGTTTGTACCAGCTGGAGCATCTGAGTGCTGTTGATTGTGCCTGGGGAAGACATGTACACTGTAATCTTAAGAAGGGTGTTGAACATGTTTAGTTCCTTACTTTTGCTTCCTGCATTTTTCACTGCAGACAACAGAGGAAGACACTGCAGGAGTAATAGGATGAACCTTCTGTCAGAGACATCAGACCACAAATGGCTAAAAAGCCAAACAAACTCTTCCTCTGGATTAGCTTCCAATTCACTCAAGATCTCTGACTCCTCTTTCTTCAGTTTGCTTCTATCACAAAGTCGAACAGACCGAACCACACGAGACTGATTAATAAACCTGATAGCTGCTGAAGAGAACAGTAAGGAGAGCACACTCTCTGAAGAAACATTCAAAACACCACCCATAAACATGAACTTCGACTTAAAGACAGATTCAATACATGGGTACAAACTCTGTACCTGGCATGTTTCTGCCAATGCTATCAAGCAAGTCTCTACCTTCTCAAAAGGGCGGTTAAACACACCACCCTTTGCCAACGCTGACAGAAATTCACCAGCCCTGTCACTCAAGAGCCCACTCATAAAGAAACAAACAAGCGGCATCCTACCTGCGTTCTTTACCAATTGCTGAAGTATAGTCGTGTTTGTTGATTTGTCTAAGGTATCCTTGATGTACAATGCTACACAGAAGTCATGTAGAAATGTGTTAACAAATTTGTACCTTTTGTTTTCAGTCAGTTGAAGCATGTCAAAGACAGCAGAATCAATACTTTTCGTTTCCTCATGATTGATATCTATCTCTCTGTTGTTGTTTTGCACAATGCTGCTCAACCACTTTGAGCCTAACTGTATCAAGGATTCAGTTACTGTCTCAGACATGGGAGCACATTCTTGTTCTGAAACACTACCAGATTTTCTGGCAAAATGCTTGCATAGAGAATACTGCAAGAGCTCTGTGAGGGTTTGTGGGAACGTGTGGTTTCTCTCTAACCAATAGGTGACAATATGTGGCCAGAAGAAAGGGATTAGTACAACTAGTTCTACTACAGGATCTCTCCATGCACTGTCTAACAGTAGCTTAATCTGCTCAGTGTTGCCTTCTAGATACTCTTCCACAAATGTCTCCCACGTGGTAGAGTCAGGTGTCATGGTCAGGCTCTGAAACTCCTGGACTGTCCTCACCATGTCTGTAAAATTCATAAAAGCACTTGAACCACTTGTGTTTAGATAATATACGTCATATTAGTTTCCTACTACATATGCATTAAGTTAACAAGGTTTTATATTTCCCAAATTAGGCCGGTGATGAACTTTTTATGAAAAGTCTGTTCCCATTTAGTAACGATGACTCCTCAAGAAGATTCCTCACATTTTGCTGGGTGAGATGACTTCTAATAATCTGAATAGTAAGAACTAGATTTTATACTCACCTCGTGCGTTGAAATATTCGACCCACTGCCGGTACTGCTCTTCTAACATGATGACCTGCACAGCCAAGTCATGGCCAGTAATGGCTCGCATCTCATCAGTGACAAGACAGCCTGTAAAGTCAACGCCGAGCTGTCCAGACTTGTAGGCTGTCCATATAGTATTCAAAGAGAGAAGATTGTTTGGGAGTAAGTGAAGGATTGCAGAGCCCATCTTGATTTTAACAATATCTAACCCTGATCGAAGTAGGTGTGACAGAACCTCTTTTGTCTGCTTTTCTATCTCTTCTCTCGACAGAAGGCCTTCTGCTTTCTTTAATAGGTCTAGCTGGATACCTCCTAGTTTTGCCAGCAAATCTAACTGCCTCGCCTTTTCATCCTTTAGCTTGTCCTCTACCCACTGTTCGTCACTGACACCTGCCGTTCGAGTGTCTTCGTCCTTCATTCTGGTTTCTTCATCTGATGATCCAGAATCACTTGGCGACGGAGAAGGTGTCAAGTAAAAAAGCGTTTGGATCGCTGTGAAAACAAAGCAAGAACAGTCAGAAAAGTTACTTTCATAAAGAAAACGGCTTTTTTTCCGCACTGGGTAAAACTTTCATAAACAGTTAATAATTGATATCTTTGGAATATATGTGCATATAATTCAAAACAATACAATACATCATGCTTCAAATTAGACAACAAACCTGCAGGCTGAGGTGTGCTACGTCCCAACGTAGAAAGTCGTTGAACGACTTCTGCAGCGATGTTTGCCATCTCGTCAGTTACATGGTCTTTCTGCACGCGTCTTGCGCTCATCTGTTTCAGTGTGGGAGAGTACTTCCCGACTAACTCACTAAAGGCCTTGAAACCATCGTCGTTAGCGTCGACCCATATGGGGAATATTCGTTTGTTGTTTCTAAGGCATGTTTCAAACTCCAGTTTAGGCCAGTAGGGTTTGTTGAGGAATGATGTACTGACAACAACGACAGCGAGTTCCAAACTTTCACTCGATAAAGTCGAAATTATTCTGTCCCGAATGACTTCACCGGGTTTGATGGAAACGTCGTCGAAAAAAATGTCTTTCTCGGCCAACCCTTGCTGTTGCAGCGTGGTGACCAATGGACGGACAAATGATTCTTTGTCTTCTCCTGCGTGGATGATGAATACACGTGGCTCTAGAAAGAAGAAGAAAAGGGTTTGTGACATATACGTGAACTCCTAAAAGACATCTCTCGTGTGAAGGAGGGTACTTGCTCGCCCGAATTCTATGCGCGATTTGGTGAGTAAAACATTCAGCGCAAATTACCTAGCCTCCTTCGCAGTCTTGTTGGGCGTCGGCGTTATTTTTTCTGTGCGCGACGCGAGTAATATGCCGCCGCGGGGGACGATCTGCTG